GAGAGCGGAGCACTCTGCACACACCTGCCACATCTCAACTGTCTTTAGCTCAAGCTCGGTGATTTAAAGTGGCTTATTGAGACAGCTAGTCCAGCTGGCAAGCAAGGCACTTGCCTTGTACTCTGCTGACCTGGGTTCGATCCCTGATACCCACTCTGGTTGCTTGAGCTCTGCCAGGAGTGGTCGCCGAGTGCAGAGTCAGAAGTAAGCCCTGAGCACTGCCAGGGGCAACTCAAAATGCAAATTTAAAAAATGTAAAAAATAACGTGGCTTATTTAGGGCACTGGGCTGGAGCGATAGCAGAGCGGGTAGGGTGTTTGCCTTGCACACAGCCAACATGGCTGACCCAAGTTCAATTCCTCCGCCCCTCTCGGAGAGCCCAGCAAGCTACCAAGAGTATCTTGCCCGCATGGCAAAGCCTGGTAAGCTCCCCGTGACGTATTCGATATGCTAAACACAGTAACAACAAAGTCTTATAATGGAGATGCTACTGGGCCCGCTCGAGAAAATCGATGAACAATGGGAGGACAATGACAGTGATTTAGGGCACTGAGAGATAGTTGAATGAAAGGAGCACATACTCTGCATGTAGGAAATTTGGTCCCTCAAACACTGCCAAGAGTGACTCCCAAGAGCCCATCCCCCACCTGGGGCTAGAGACAGCACAGTGGGTAGGGCGTTTGTCTTCCATGTGGCCGACCCTGGTTTGATTCTCGGCATCCCAGATGGTCCTCCCAGCACCACCAGGAGTAACTCCTGAGTATGGAGCCAGGAGTAAGCCCTGAGCATCGCTGGGTGTGGTCCCCAAGGCCCCCGCCCCAACAAAAAAGAACTGACCACCCCAAATGAAAAAGCTCCCTTTGGATTGCCTTTATTCTGAGTCCAACCACACAGCCACATTTCTGTCCAGATGACACTAAGTTTCCGAATCTCTGGTGACAATGTGTCCTTTCTGAGTCACTGGCTTTTCAGGTTTCTAACAAAAGCAATCATATTCGCCCTCCAAACCTAGGAAGGAGACGCCGTCCCAGCATTAGACTGAAGAGAGTCCAGTGCAGCCTCGGGCCGTTTAGAAATTCTGGGAGGGCAGCAGTGACGGAGATTCAACCTGCATCTTGGCCAGAATACAGTTACTGATGACCCAAAACAAAAAAAATAGCCAAGTTTAAAAAAAAAATAGCCAAGGGGCTGGAGTGAAAGCACAGCGTGTAGGGTGTCTGCCTTGCACACGGTCGACCCGGGTTCGATTCCCAACATCCCATATGGTCTCCTGAGCACCGCCAGGGGGTAATTCCTGAGTGCAGAGCCAGGAGTGACCCCTGAGCATCACTGGGTGTGACCCAAAAAGCAAAAAAAAAAAAAAAAAAAAAAGGCCAAGCCAAGTAAACCAGGCCCTGGGAGGTTGGCGTGGCTTTCTGGATGATTCTCAGAGGCAGGCCAGGTGGCCCCTCAGGCCAGTTGGGCAGCCAGGGTAGCAGTATCCAAAGTTTCTGCAACTTTCTGTCTTCAGGGAAGGGTGAGGTTGTGCCCCTCGCCTAGCCCCTACAAACTCTCAGGAGCCTTCTTTGTCCACAGGGGATGGACTGGGCAGCAGGGCCTGAGCGTGCCTGCAAGTTAAAGGGGTGGGGTCCACAGTGGTCTCCTTTGCTAACAGAGGGGCCCCACTGTGTTCTGCTGCCATATGCTTTCAATTTCCAGGTCTGACAGCCCCCTTCGCAGCCCCACACCATGGCCTGCAGAGGCACCTGTCACCAGCTGCCAGGCGCACCTTTCACCAGCTGGCACCTTTGGGCGGGATCCAAGCAAACAATCTGAGGGAGGGAGGAGTCAGGTCTGCCGAAATTCCCCGTGACCTGACCGGACACCTCTTCCTCCCTTCTCCCGATCAATCCTGCTGCATGCAACGGGGAACTGCAGAATAGCCTTTGACTTCCAAATTTGCCTCCAAACGCCCATGGACACACTCGCTCTATGCATATTGCAACCCATACGCACAGATGTGTGCCCCAAACCCAAAGGCGCCCTTAATACACGCCGACAGCTGCTCATAAAGAAACTCAGCACTATAACTAACAGCTGTCGAGCTGCAATAGTGGGTTCGGTCCCCAGCATACCATATAAGGACTCCCAGCTCAGGAGTACTTCCTGAGTGCAGAGTCAGGTGTGACCCGAGTATCACCTGGTGTGGTCCAAAAATCTAAAAAAAAATAGGGGAGGGGGCTGGAGCGATAGCACAGAGGGCAGGGCATTTGCTTAGCACGTGGCTGACCCAGGTTCAATTCCCAGCATCCCATATGGTCCCTCAAGCACCGCCAGAAGTAATTCCTAAGTGTATGAGTCAGCAGTAACCTCTGTGCATCGCCGGGTGTGACCCAAAAAGAAAAAAAAGGGGGGGGGGATGAGATTTGCTCCTTGCTTTCTACAAAATGCACATTTCACCCTTTTTTTATGGGGAGTAGGAGGGGACACATCTGACTCTGCTCAGGAGTCACTCCTGATTCTCTCAGGGCTTACTCCTGGCAGGGCTCAGGGTCTACACGGCGTGCAGGGGATCAAACCTGGTCAGCCAGCAGGTAAGCACCCAACCGGCTGTTCTGTCATTGGCCCCACTCACCACAGTCTGAGCATCAACTGGTGGAATCGACATGTGGAGAGGAAGCTGGTTTGGGGCCTCCAAGTTCTTAGAGTGTGGCTTAGAGCAAGGCAAGTCTAGCCTTGGGTACCGCTAAGTCAAACTGATTTGGGGACAGGCCTCAGGAGCACAGGCAGGCGGTCACCCCTCCGAGAACTGGGGGGCTGTCAGATGCCTGCAGTCTGTTCTCTGAGGCGCTGCCCCCCACCTCCCGGGGTCAGGAAATGTGCAGTCATTTGTCACATGTCATTTGTTCCCACCTGTCTCCCGCCAAACTCTGTGTTCTGGCTCCACGCTTACCACAGTGGGGGCTGGAAACGGCAATCCTGGGGTGGTGTGGGGAGCAGCACCTCAGGAGAGAGGGGACGGCTGTCACACAGACACGTCTGAACGCCATCTGAGGCGTAATCCTGATCAAGGAACAAGCCACCATTATGACTTGAATAAAGTTTCAATTCCATCAGCACAATATTTTAAAATATAAAACACAAACAAGCCTGTAAATCAACATTTTCAAATCTGCAAACAAGTAAAACAAACCCTTCCCAGTCTTCAACTGATAATAAATGTGGGGCAGAATAAGGCAGCATATAATTAAAAGTAAATGAGAACACCTAAGGGATCCAGTGACATACATCTTTTGAAGCTGTGAGGAAGAAAACTATATATTAATTTATGAAGGAAGAGAAATGTGGGTAGGCATCAATTAGAAACACAAACGCGCTCCAAAACACTGCAAATGTTCAGTATATTAACTTCAGGAACAATTTTATCTTTTAGACAATTTTTATTAATTGTGTTCCGCTGAATTTGACACTATAAACATATTCATTGAAAAAATTAACACATTTAAATAGGGATTAAGTTCATAAAAATTTACAACAGAACAAATTTACAACAGTACTCTGACTTATTATTGTATCTTAAATAGTTCAGCCCATTTAAAAATATTTCCTCCGACTTCAATTTTAGGATACAAAGCAGTAACAATTTATTATTGTTATTGACAATAACAAGACTTCCATTAAGAATGGTAATATAGAAACCTGCAAAAACACTGACCAAACTTTGAGAAAACATGTCCCCACACCTCGCGGCCACTTACTTCTGGGACACACATGCAAAGGCACAGGGTCATTGCCAGCGTTTATCCGCAGAGAGTAGCCTGAGCACTGAATTTCTTAGTCAGCTTCATCATCTTTGCACTCAGGCTTCAACAGGGAGGGGCTGGGCAAGGAACAGTCCTCTCCCTCCAAATCCAGGACAGGAAGTAGGGAGAAACACAGGCCTGTCTACCAAGCCTAACTGGACCTTCTGGAAATACTTTAAAACAAACAAACAACAACAAAAAAAACCTTAATCAGAAAAAGTACAACAAAAGACCAAAACTACAAACTGTCCAATTTGGTGGGAGAGGTGACCCTCTCAGGAGCCAGGAGAGGGGCAGCAGGAAGAGGCTGGGTCTCCTCTCCTCTCCTGCCATTTGAATCATTCCATGGACCCCAAGTGCTACAAATTCCCAGGATATCTGACATACAGTAAATTGAAGTCATGTAGAAATGATCTCTTGGGGAATTGCAGCATGCCCTTCATTTTTGTTTTTTGTTTTTGCCACACCTGGTGGTGTGTAGGGGTGACTCCTGGCAATGGTGGCCATATGGGGTGCTGGGGATCTAACCCCGGCTCAGCTGGTGCAAGGCAAGCGTCCTCTGTACTGTGTTCTATCTCTGGGTCCTGCCCCCACTTGGAAGGAGGCCTGCCTGCCAAAAGTGACTATCATTAGCATGGGGGTCATTTCAAGTACCTATGACACTACGATTATTTTTTAAAGCTATCAGCTGGAGCGATAGCACAGTGGGTAGGGTGTCTGCCTCGCATGTGGCCCACCAGAGTTCGATTCCTCCATCTCTCTTGGAGAGCCCGGCAAGCTACCGAGAGTATCCCGCCTGCAGTGCAGAGCATGGCAAGCTCCCCGTGGTGTATTCGATATGCCAGAAACAGTAACAACAAGTCTCACAATGGAGACGTTACTGGTGCCCACTCAAGCCAATCGATGAACAATGGGAGGAAAGGACAGTGCTATGTTCTGAGAACCCAAAACGCAATCCAACTGAGACTTTGAGGTAAGGCTTATTTTCCAGTAAAAGCACAAATTGTAGAACTAAATGGAAGAAAAAGATGCAAAAGTATTAGTGAAAATAATTGGTCCCATGCAAGAAACAAAAGGGAAATTGGGGGCGGGGGAGGGGCACCCGTTTGTTTTGTTTGGAGGCCCCTCTCAGTGGCAGTCAGGGATTGTTCTAGAAAGTTGACAGTCACTCAGGGCCATGCGGGGGAGTGTGGGAGCGGGGTTCACACGGTCTGGTTCCAGGGACCGACTGTGGTCTCCTGCATGCAGAGTGTGTGACAAGCCCTTTGAGCTATCCTATCTCCAAAGGGAAATTTCACTCTCAGAGTGCCCAGCAAGCTATCGAGAGTATCTCGCCCACGTGGCAAAGCCTGGCAAGCTACCCATGATGGTATTCGATATGCCAAACACAGTAACAAGTCTCAAAATGGAGATGTTACTGGGCCTGCTCGAGCAAATCGATGAAGAAAGAAAATAGTCCGTGACCTCCAGCAATCGGCACTTTAGGGACATTTATTCAAGTTCTAAAATAGCAGCTTTTAAAAATTAAGGCAACATGGCATTATTCTTGATTTTCTAGGAAGTACAAAAGTTCCAAGAGCAGCTGTACTCTCTTTTGTACAAACAGCCTTTTGTAATGCAAGAAGAGCCTTTCCGTTCTTCTCAATGTTTAAAAAAATACGAAAATCATATTCAAAGTCCACAAAAATACCTCATTTTCTACCTGGAATTCTAAAAATAATCATTACAGTTATTTCAAAAACGTGTAAACCATTAGGTTAGCTTTTTAACTGGCATCAATAACTTTTAATAATAAAAAATACAATTTTTCCTAGAAAAATACAATATAGAAGATACAATACTTCATCCCTGAAATAAATTTAATATTTTGGACAGAAAAAAAACTGCAAGTGCCCCTGTAAACTTGTGCTTCCTCTCAGATACAAGCTGGGATGAGACGGGCTGAGGCTCGGGCTCAGCACGCAGAGGCAGGGGCAGGGGCAGGGGCAGGGGCAGGAGGGAGGGCGCCGCCGGCCCCTCCCGGCCCCGGCCCTACCAGGAGGAGAAGAAGGGCTTCCGGCAGTGCACGGTCTGGGTGAAGGAGCCGCTCAGGTGGACCACGCGGCCCTGGCCGCTGCCCTTGCTGCGCTCCACCACCACGCAGGGCATCTGCACCAGCTGCACCGGGCTCTTCCCGTCGCGCAGGGCCTGGGTGAGGTTTAAGATCTGTGGGAAAGAGGAGGCTGCTGACCGCTCCGCACAGAGAGGGCAGCCGCCCGCCGCCGCCCGCGCTGCCCGCCCGCGGCTCCCTCTGAGTCCACCTGCGCTAAGGGGCTGCGGCGGTGAGGCTACCTACGTGTTTTATGTGGGTGCTTGTCAGGTTTAAATGAACACATGTATATCCGCCACCCCCCACACACAACACACACATGCACACACCACACACACACCACACATACCACGCAACACACACGCACACACACAATACATACACACATAACACATACTACATATACACTACACACACCACACATGCGCACAACACATACACACATCACACACACGTGCACATATAATGCACACGCACGCACAAAATACACACCACACACACCACATACATATGCACACACACACCATACACACACCAAACACACACACCATACACACAACACACACGTGCACATACACATACCACATACACACACAACACACCACACATGCGTGTGTACACATACCACACGCGCACACACCACATACACACATATCACATACATCACACATGCACCAAACACACACAACACACACACGTGCACACACATAACACACTACATACACACCACACACACCATGCATACCACAAAACATGCACACACCACACATATAATACACACGCACACATAAAATACACACCACATACACACCACATACATATGCCCACACACACCATACACATCAAACACACACACCATACACACTACACAACACAAACGTGCACACATACCACACACACACACCACACACACAACACACGTGTCTACACATACCACATGCACACACATACCACATACATCACACACGGACCAAACACGCAACACACACACAAAACACACACAAAACACACACAGGTGCACAGAGACTCCAGTAAGCTTCAAACTATTCTAGAATGCCTGGCAAAAGAGCATTTAGAATGGGAGACTAGGGAAAGTGAGGGACTCAGACTGAGAAGTGCCGTTTGACCTAGAACCTACATCAATACTGTTGAAGCGATCTGCACTTAAAAAATCCCTGCCTTAGCCCCGCAAGGGCCGGCCACCGCAATTCTATGTGCTTAGGTTCTGTCCTAAGAGGGTGAGCCCCAGCTTCACAGAGCTCGGACAGTCAGGTAACGCACAGCACACCTTTGTGTTCGAAAGGGGAAAAAACACTGAACTGGATGGAGGGGGAAAGCCTTGTGAACCCTTAAGGTACTTAAACATTCTAGAAACCAGGAGCCTGTGAACAGGCACCTAGCCGCTCCCCTGGTACCGCCCACCACTTCCATAGCTCAGAACCGACACACCCATGCACATGTACTGAGATCAGAGAGCATCGCTCTTAGGAGGAGGCTGGCCGCTGCGGGCCAGGACTCTGGAGGTCTCCAGCCATCCAGGAGGAGGGGTCAGCTGTGTGCAAGGTGCACGCACCATCGGAGAAACATACCTGCGTTCTGGGCGGGCTTAGCGCTGTCTCAGTGGCAGCATGCCCAGGGCGCTGACTTTAACGTCAGGTTCCGAGTGCATGGTTCCGAGTGCATGAGACACGGCGTATCCCAGGGGGTGCTGTGGGAACCCCCAGCTCCCCACGGGGCAGGAGGGTTCCAGGAAGACAGAGCTGAAGCTACAAGGAAAGACTGTTGTGGAGGTGAAGAGGGACAGATGCCAAGGACAGACGGCAGCATGCGGAGGGTGAAGAAGCGGCCACAGGCTGCAGACACCCTGAGGAGCAGTGGGAAGGGATCTGGGCTTTCCACTCCCAGGAGTCATCTGGCTTTTATGTCACTCAAAAATGAGGATGAGCTGTGTTTTGTTTTTTTTTTTTTCCTTCCCTGCTGTGCTGGGGACTGAATCCAGGGTCTCACACATGCAAGGCAGCTGCCCGATGGCTGGGCCACAGCTCACGGGCCCCAAACATGTGTTTTCTGAGATCCAACACTGCAAATGTGCACAGGTAGAGTGTAAAATAAATGCTCGTAGGACCCCGGAGCACGTCCTACTGCCACTTAATATACAATCCACATGCAGCTTAACTAGCCCCACGCTGAAAACACCTCCATGCTCTGCCTGAGCCCTGGCCCACATCTTCACAGGGACAATGAGAGAACATCATAGACATGCATGTGAGACCGAAAATCCACTACTCAGCCCAAGCAAAAGTTAGGTTGTGCATAAGCACAAAACGTGAAGTTAACTGGCAAAACTAGAAGGAAAAGCGTAGGGAAGAACTTAAATGACAGAAGCAACAAGTGTCTGAGTCAATTAAGAAACTGCTTGAAATAGTGATCCTCTTCTTGAACACAGGTGACCTAATATGCTTTTTTGGGGGATGGTGGTGGTGGTGTTTTTTGTTACAACTATTTCTGTGCTCAGGGATCACTCCTGGTGGGATGCTGAGGACTGGACCAGGGTCGGCCATGGGCAAGGCAAGCACCCACTGTTCTACTGCTTGAGTCCCTCACAACCCTTCCTAAAGTTTAATCTCTAAATGCTCTGCTGCTCCCTTTCATGTGCAATCTATATTCTGGCCCTTAAAGGTCCTCTTTGTTCTGGCTCTGTCCTCTCCAGTCATTTCCATCATTAATGGAACAGAACTTGGTACTGAAAAACCATGGAAGTGGATTTAGGGAGAAAAAAAAAAGACAGTTAACACTCATAGTTACCAGAGCACAGCCTTCCAGCAAAACACAGAATAAATGCAGCAACAGGAAGCAGAGATGTGCAAGCCAATATCCACCTACCACACACCCCCTTTCCCCTGATGCCTGGCCCCACAGAAAACATCTCCAAGGGGGCAGGGTCTGGGTGTACGCACTGCTTCATCTCAAAGGCTCTCAGTCGGCTTACTCAAAATTAAACTTAGTTAAGACGATGGAGAAATCAGGCTTGCCACAGTCATGCACTGAACGAGCACCTCCAATTCAATGCCTCCTTGAGGAAGGAAGCCACCGAAAGACAAGGCTGACAGGGTCTTTATTCTCCTTTCAAGCCCTCCCGCTGGAGCAGAAGGAAGAGCCAAGCACGCAGTGCCTCAACCCAGCCCGCAGGCTCACACCCGCAGACCAAAGGACCAACGCATCTTACCCTGGTGAAACACCAGTGAGGAAGGATGAGAGGGCTACTAAGTGAGCACTCTGATGCCCCAATCAGTCCTGGGTCTTAGTGACCTGGCATTTACTGATGCTTGGAGCCCAAGCAGTCTATGAGAAAAATAACCCCAGGGAACAGAACGTGGTACTGAAAAACCAGGGAAGTGGATTTAGGGAGAAAAAAGATAGTTAATGCTCATAGTTACCGGAACACAGTCCAGGAATTCACACGAGGGGGAAACTGATGAACTAAACAATACACAAGTTCAAAAAAGATGTGATTTATATGACACGGGAGGAAAATACTAGTGACAGCAACCCCACTTCTAATTATACGAGCTATTTTAGCTCAGCACAAAAGGTATCATGAGTTGCAGCTTTGGGTTCCAATGGTTTAAAAAAGGTGGGTACTGTTTCAGTCACAAGCACATGAAAAGGTGACCTACCTGTCCCCGCATCACAGACATCTGACTTTCGAAACTGGCTTTGTCAAATCCTGGATCCATCTGTCACACAGAAAGAGAACCAAATGTTAGAACTGCAGAAACCAAGATCTCTGAAACAAATATCTGAAAACAAATGGACTCTTCAAATGAGCAGTTAGGTCATCAGAAAGCTTTCCCAACTGATTAAAAAAGGAACGAGAGGAGTATTTTCACAGGATGAATTTCTGTAAACCTTTGGCAGTGTTTGTGCAAGAGGGCAGTAATGCCCCCTGGAGGGCCCGGGTTGATGGGGGTGGGGAGGCCTTAGCCTCACGGGAGAGGCGGGCGCTGAAGGATCTCCGGGGAAGCAACGAAGTTTCTTTCCCTGCACAGTGGGCACAGGCCATGTAAGCTGGGTAGCGTCTGGAATGGGCTCCGAATGGGTTCAGCTCCAGAATGGCAAGGAGAGTTCTACTTATACTCTACCTTATACCATGTAAGATTTAAAATGAGTTCCCTGTCAGTGGGGTTAGGTTTTTTTTAAATTTTCTTTTTGTTGTTGAGGCACAACTAGAGGTCCTTGGGGACCACATGGGGTGGGGACCACACCTGGCAAGCAAAGCACACCCTCCAGCCCTCTGAGTCGTCTCCCGGGCCTAGCTCAGGCACTTGGGAGGAGAATAAAATCCTAGCGGGTCGCTGCTCATTTATTATAATAATTTAGAAAGCAACTTTGCAAAATCAAATTTTGAAGAAAACAACTTCTCAAGTTTTAGTGTGGTCCCACCTAACGGTGAGTGTAACTTACACATTCATGCTGCTGGGAAGGGAGACTGCTAACTCCTTCCTGCCAGGCCCGATTCTACAGAGCAGAGCACTAACAGAAGCAGCGAACTACAGATTAACTCGGCTCAGAAAATTGCGTCTAATTTCAGGTTTCATTTTCTGAAACAATGACACAAAATTGATTTACCTTAAAAAGTTCATAAAGATCTTCACATAGATCTTGCACAAAGTTCATGTCAGAAATACAGGGTAGAATCAGGTTTTTTGTTTCTTCTGAAAAAGGAACCTTTGCTTGAGGAAGCCAAGCCCAGTGAAATGGATCTAACAGAGGAGGAAGAGGAAAGTATATTTAATAGGAGAGGGAAAATGTCTTATTTAAACCAACATCAATCTTGGTTGGGTCTTTCCTTTAATTCCTAAGGTCTCAAAAAGAAAAAGTGGAGGGTGAGAACAGGACAAGAGAAATAAGTTATCAGAGAATAATTGTATTTTGCCACTTAAACTTGAATTCTGATTTTGGATGGTCAATTCAGATGGTAAAGCACAATAAAGTACTACCCAATTTAATTAGGTTCAAGGTTTCTTTTTTTAAAAAAAAATTAATTGAACCCAGGGCCTCATACTTGTGAAGCATCTCTTATACACTGAGGTATGTCACAGTTTCTGAGTTTTTTGGGGGGGTTTCGGTTTTGTTTCTGAGCCACCTCCAGTGGTGTTCAGGGCTTTCTCCTGGTTCCTCAGGAAACACGAGGTAATGAGGATCGAAGCAGGGCTGAGCATGTACAAGGCAAGCACCCTACCCATTGTTCTCTCTCTCAGTCCCTCAAGTCTCTCCCTTGTACAGTGGGAACTGACTGGCTATTCAAGAGAAAGTTTTACCTCTGGCCCACATCTCCCTGGAGTTACATCCAATTTCCTTATTAGTCCTCCCCTTACAGTCACGATCAGGAAAGTCCTATGCCTGTCTATTCCGACCTCTGTCACTCCTCTTCTACTATCACCAGGCAAACTCTTCTGGAGAAGCCAGTGGTCTCCTGAGAATCTCCTGATGGGACACTGGGAAATGTACACTGGGGAAGGGACGAGTGTGCTGGAACATTTTATGACTGTAACCCAATCATGAACAACTTTGTAACTGTGTATCTCGTTGTGCTCCAATTAAAAGAAAAAAAATAACTAAAATGGGGGTAAAAATAAAGAAAGAAAAGGATCTCCCAAAGGCCCAGTTGCAATCCTTCTGCTACTCAAAGTCTCTTGCACGGGGTACTTTCCTGTCACCTCCTTATGCAAAGTTCTCGGTGGCTTTGGAGGCACTTTGAGCTTACCTTGCTGTTTTTTAAGTCACTTCTCTTGTTTGCCGACTGTTTCTCTTATCTGCAAGGCCACTATTCCCCAGACAGTGCACTGTCTCTCCTTGTCTTCATTTACTGAGCACTGATGAGACACTTGAGTACTTGAATACGAAAGTGCCCAAGTGATGAAGTTTATTCACCATGACTTCCTTCAGCGACAGCCAACATTAACAGTGCCTCAACTGACAAGGGTCACAGTGCAGAACTATATTCATGATACCGATTCTGTGGGCCAGTGCTAGAACCTTAATCCTCCATTGCATGTTTGGTGAAATTTCCCAGGTGAATTATGAGTAACTTCAACTTAACACTTTATAAAACATACAAAAAACAAAACAAGCCAAACCAAACTAAAATGAAAATGTAATTGGCATACAGATCCTAACAACAACATGAAAAACAGAAACGAAACACCAAAAAAGACTTCAAGTCAGTACACCAAAAGGCAGAAAAGGAAATAAAAAATGGAAATTACAGGTACGGGAGAGATAGTACAGCAGGTAAGGTACTTGTCTTCTACAGGTTAACCCAGGTTTGGTCCCAGCACCTCATATGATCACCCCATATGGTCCCCTGGAATCCTGCCAGGAGGGATCCCTGAGCACAGAGCCAGGTTATTTTATATTTTTGGTTTTTTTGGGTCACACCCAGCAATGCACAGGGGCTACTCCGGGCTCTGCACTCAGGAATTACTCCTGGTGGTGCTCAGGCTGGGGATCGAACCTGGGTCGGCCGTGTGCAAGGCAAACACACTATCCACTGTACTATTGCTCCAGCCCCCACATGAATGTTTGAAGCAAAATGAAGTGTCAAAAACTGCTCAAGAAGACATAGAAAACAGGACCATAAACCATAGAAGAGAAGGTGAGCCTGAACTGTTTGTAAGGGAATACTACCCAAAATATTAAAATTCCACCAAAATACGTGTGTGTGTGTGTGTGTGTGTGTGTGTGTGTGTGTGTGCGCGTGCATGTGTACACGCATATATTTTAAAATGAGCTCACAGCCAGGGATATACTTCAGTAGTAGAGCTTGAGTATGATCCCCAGCAATGCAAAATAAAACAAAATAAACACCACAGACTCCTAAAACACTATCAAATTAATTTTTTGTCTGTTTTTTGGCTTGGGGGTCACAACTGGCAGTGCTCAGGGCTTACTCCTGGCTCTGAGCTCAGGGATCACTCCTGGTGGGTTCACAGGACCATATGGGGTGCCAAGGACTGAACCTGGGTTGGCCACATGCAAAGTAACCCCCTTCTTGCTGTACTATTGTTCCAACCCCCACCACCAAACTTATTAGTTTTATTTTTGGGCCACATCTCACAATGTCAGGGGTTACTCCTGGCTCTGCATCAGGAAGAATTACTCCTGGTGGGCTCAGGGGCCCACAGGGGATGCGGGAAGACAAACGCCCTCCCCACTGTACTATTGCTCCGGGGCCCAAACTTATTTTAAAAGCAGATCCGCAGAAAGCCGCAGAGCAGACCGTTGTATGGAGCTCAGCCAAAGGCAAGCCGGGGTCTAGCCAGTGCCCGCCTTGGTGCCCTGTGCCTCGCTGAGCCCTAAGGGATGGAAAGTTTGTTTATCTAGTTTCTGTATTCTTCCTAAGCTGTTTCCTTCCGACTTTGGAAAAGGGGTAACGCTAGAATTTAGAGAAGATTCTAAATACTCACATGTTCTCCACTCATCAGGATGTTTAAAAGGAAAAGCTAGACCGTTGTCAATTGCAGCTATTTTAATAAGTTGTTCTTTCTCAACTGATTTTGTCTCCTAAAAGAGAAAACACGTTATGTTGTTAAAGAAGTTCACATGAGTATTTCCCAAAGGGAAAAGTATTCACTGTCATTACGGAAGTTTTAGTGATTTCACCTGAAAAGCCTACAAAAATAAAACTTAAATTACAAATTTAACCTTCATGGAAAAGACTTTTAAAAAGAAGTCAGTTAAAAATTTATCACCATTTTCTTTAACTTGATAAGGGACAGTTATATAATAGTGGTTTCATTTTTTTCCTCCTTGGGGAAGAGGGCTTACAATTATTAAGAGTTAGAGGTGCTATCTGCATATACTACACTTCACTTACCATCACTGATAGGTTCTTTGAAACTGCTATATTCAACTAAACGAAGTCTAATATTAAGACCAGAATTTAATCGGCAAAAGTAACAGAGGCAAGAATTACAATTCAACGGTACATTTCTGATCAAAAACAAACAAAAAAGCCCTACCACAAAAGTCTCAAAGAGTCCAAACACTTCGGAAAGTCAATAAACATTTGCACCCATTCACTCAGCTTCCTTCATTCCCAGTCATTCCCGGTCCTTTCGGCCAAGGACACGTGGTGGGGTGGGGGTTAAGGCCGATCCGGGCAGCCCAGGGCAGCAGGCACCCGGCAGGACGCCATCATGGCAGGATGCACCCCGCACACTCCATTCCCACGGCAAGTGGGTCAGCTGCGACACGGCAGCAAACCGAACGCACACCTGTGGGTGCGGCAGGAAACTGGGGCACCCAGGACACCCACAGACACGGCGCAGCTGCGTTCCCCTTTTCCCCACCATTGTGGCAGGCCACACGGAGCCAAACTCCATCATTTGGGGACCTCCCATGGTTTATTCTAGAGACACTGTTCAACTGCACATGAGCAAAACCCTGGTCTTTAAAAGGAGACAACAAAGTCACCTTTGGGTTTGGGTGGAAGGAAGGGGGTGGACAAGGGACTGTCTGGTGCTGGGGACGTGGGGACGGAGCCCGGGACCTTCGCATACTAAGGCTGCACTCCTGCCCTTCGGAGCCATTTTCCTAGCCCTGGGTTTATTCTTTTTATGGCTATTATTATGAATGTTTTGTTGTTTCTCAATTTTTAATTGTTTTTAATTGTTCATAAATTTGTTCTTCGATTTTTATTAAAAACACTTTGCCTTACAAAGTTGTTCGTTAAACAGCCGTTTGAAGCATTTAGTGCTTCAACACCACCAGTGTGACTCTCCCTCCACCAAGGTTCTGCTTTCCTCCCAATGGCAGTTTTAAATTTCTTTTATCAACATTAAGAAGTGTGTGTGTGTGTGTGTGTGTGTGTGTGTGTGTGTGTATGTGTGTGTGTGTGAAGAGGTGGGGAGGGGGGCAGTGAATTATGGGCCACACACAAGGCAAATGCTCTATTGAAGAACTAGATATCTGGCCCACAAGTGCCAACTTTTTAAGTGATGCCAGAATAACAGTTTTAAGTGATGAGATGGGATTGAGAGGATGCTAAGTTTCGGAGAAATTATTATTTTTTTGGTATGGGGGCCACACTCTGCAGTGCTCACACCTGGCACTTTACTCAAGAGATCATTCCCGGCAGGCTCGGGGACCACATGGGGTGCCAGGGATAGAACCTGCATCAGCCATGTGCGAGGAAAACATCCTGCCTGCTGTAGTAGAGCTCCTGGCCCAGGAAATGATTTTCTTGAATAACTAAATATAGACTTACTCTTTCTTTCTTTCTTTCTTTCTTTCTTTCTTTCTTTCTTTCTTTCTTTCTAGGAAATGATTTTCTTGAATAACTAAATATAGACTCACTCTTTCTTTCTTTCTTTCTTTCTTTCTTTCTTTCTTTCTTTCTTTCTTTCTTTCTTTCTTTCGTCACACCCCCAGCGATGCACGGGGGTTACTCCTGGCTCTGTGCTAGGGAATTACTCCTGGCGGTGCTCAGGGTACCATATGGAATGCTGGGAATCGAAACTAAGCCCGCCGTGTGCAAGGCAAACACCCTACCTGCTGCACTATCACTCTGTGGGAAGCTGGCCCTTTAACTGACCAAGGGCCTACGTGCCTGTGCTATGTATGGTTATCTTGGCCTACGTGACCCTGAACAAGCGGGTCCTGACTAGCGCAAATCTGGTACTGCGTCTGCTCTAACCACAGCCTGTGCATAATATGAGCTATGTATGATTATTTAAAAGAAAACATTTGTCACAGCTAGCCCAAGAATAAGAAGTCACTGACACTGACTAATCAAGCACATGGAACATATAGTTTTTGTAACTCTCCTAACAATATATGATATGACCTAGTGATGTAATTGCCTTCTGTAATGTAAGCATAGTTTCCTGCGTCGCAAAGTATATAATACCCCTGCTGCCCTGAATAAAGTCCTGTCCTGTCTCTTTATCTCTGTTTCTAAACTGTACTCTGTCTCTTGTGTCTTGTGTCTTCATTCGGTTGGTCCCTCCTTGCACCTACGGATCCTAGGGCCACCTCCACGGGCCGGAGAGTGGTCTGGCGGGGCCCCCCGCATCACTCCAGACTCTAGACTGCTTTAAAAAAGCAAATCGGAACAAAGTATCTCCAATTCAGTTATTTATTTTGGGAGGAGCTCTTCTTGGCAATTCCCGACCAGCTGGCAGCTGGCGCAAGACTATCTGCAGCATGGCCCAGTGGAGGCCCTAGAGGGAAACCACCAGGCCTGCTCCAGGCCGCGTGGCAGTGTTCCTGGGAGCACTCAGTGCTGGGGAGCCACAGAGCACACACCTGAACCTGAACTAATCAAATTTCAATTGATTAGTCAAAGATCTAAAATCGATTATTCTGGAAGTGTGAAGGGTTTTGATGCACAGTGAAACAAGTAGAAAGTGTTCTACAAGTAGAACACTTTTTATCAAAAAAATTTTTTAGAATGGTACTTTTTAAAAAAAGTTTGATGGATATAATTCACAAGTAAAGCGCATATGTTCCATTTTATTAGGTAACACAATTAACTGATATGAGTCACAAGAATCACAACTAAGTGAATTAGTAAAACTAAAAATCAATCAACCAAAAAACAAAAAAACAAAAACAAAATCATCACAGAAGACTATCAGAGGAAAGTAAAGTAAGGCAGTTCTACAACGAATTTCCCAAGTACTGAAAAAATATTGAGTTGGTATCATTCTTTGAGCCTCAGGCAACATAAAAATTAAATGAAGAATCATATAAATTTATAGTATGTGTATATGAGTACTAAACTTAAAACGTTCTTACCTGAATATTAAGCTTCTGCTTCTCATATTTGATTAACCAATTATCGTTTCCCCTGTCTTTCAAAGCAAAACAAAACAAAATCTGTCATTTCATTTTTTATGAATATCATAACTTACTATCAAGGGTATGGCATACTTGAGTTAATCTTGACTTTCAAAACCTCCACTGATTATGTCTGGCAAACGTCTACAGACTACAGGCTCCAATTCAACAGTGACAGACTAAAACACAGTCATAAATGTCAGCTAACATTTACTAAGCATTTATTCCGCACCAGACAGCCCTGTAAGTGTTTAAACATACAATCATTTATTTTTCCAAATAATGGGTCTGAGATAGTACAACTGTCATCGAGAACTATTAAATCAAGTAAGGCCAATCAGAGACAACCTCTCTTTGGGGGCCAGAGCAACAGTATAGCAGGTGGGGTGTTTCCCTTGCACACAGCTGCCCTGTATTTCCTGGCGCCCCAAAAAGATCCTCCAAGCCCACTACAAGTTATCCCTGAGTGCAGAGCCAAGAGCAAATCCTGAGCACCGCCAGGTGTGGCCCCCAAACAAAACAAACAAATAAAAAAACCGGAAAAACCTTTCCTTCCTGTAGTTACCTGGCAAATTCCTGGACAGGCCTGGAGAGAAGTCTTGCACATGCTACATTTCATTTGGAAATAAACCTAATGCCATATTAGGTTAAAAAGGTAAATCTAGAAAAGTATGTAATGTCTTTTAAAAAACTAATACAAATGAGCAAAGAATCTGGAACAATGCTCCTTAGGCCTCATAATGCATAAGAATCACCTGGAGGGCTTGTTAAGACACAGACTAGGGCCCGTACTTGTACAGTTTCGACTTCAAAGAGCCTGTGAAGATTCTGGCGAGTTCTTTCTGAGACAAGTCCCCACATAGTTCTGGGTTGAACGGTCCTGGGAACCACATCTAGAGTCACTGATTACTGGTATCACCACTCCCTGCCAGCACATAAAGTTGGTCTAATGCTTTTAAAGCTGATGTTAACCTAACATCAAAGTGACCATCTAAAATGAGTCCGAACTATCAAGTTTTCATTCGTTTCATTAGACAGGTAACATTGCTGATAACTGGGTTTGCCCAGAAATCCCTGCAGTGAGTAGGAAGTGACCTCCGTCTCTTGGGCTAGGGTCTGCGGAGGTAGAATCTCCTGCAGAGCATTTGTTCGACCCAGGACACTCCAAGTCACCACTGTTTCTGAGGCAGGAAGAAACTCAGTCTCAACGCTGGGGTATCAAAATTTCATGTCTTTGATTTGGTTGACAAGAGACGAATACCCTTCGAAAACGCACAAGATTTGAGTGAACAATACCTGTGTTTCTGATGATGTAATCCAAAACCACCAATCTTTCAAACTGTGACTGAAACTCTTTTCTAGTATTCTCCGGCAAAGGGTCAGCTTCAAATTTCCTCAGCCAATATTCGGCCTCCTTGTAACCTTCCACAAATAACTGAAAGGAACCAACCTACAATTTTAAGAACTACAGTTAGAAAAGAAAATGAAAAGTAGAGGTCAACATTCTAATTTCTCAGCAGCAGCACCAAAAAACAAAACAAAACAAAACAAAACCCCAAAACATTCTATAAGTGGGGTCAGAGAGACAGTCCATCAGATAAGGGCACTTGCTTGCATGCCGGCTGACACAGGTTCAATCAAAGGCACCCCTGAGCATCACCAGGAGTAATTCCTGAGTGCAGAGCCAGACTCAGGAATAATTCCTGGGCCCCACCAGATGTGCTTCCCCGTCCCCCCCCCCACCCCCCGCCGGCCCTCACAAAAAATCCTTTCTATAAGGTAACAAGAAAAACAAAGCTAAAACTTACAAATAATAATTAAAAACCTACCAAACGCATCGAAAGTTCTCTCCTTGAAGATATACGCCCTCTCTGCTGTGCTATCACTCCAGCCCCAGATATATCCCTTTTCAAAGGTAGTTCCAGGTGTGGGACATGGTCCCAGTGGTCCAGCACCTGCCCAGCATTGAGTCACACTCCTCATCACCTCAGCTCCCCGGGTGCAGCCTGGTGCTCTGGTCCCTAGAGCACCGAATCACCAGGCCTGAGGGCTGATCTTTTGCCCTGTCAGCATCCCCTGCACCCCTGGGTGTGGCCCCTCTAAAAAATCTAAACTGAAAGCTATTTATCACTAAAATGAGCAGTTATCCACACCAAACAACTTACTGAGGAAGAAAAGACAAAGTTAAAAGGCTCACGACCCACAGATTAATAGGTCACTCAGACATAGAGATAATCACCACCAGAAAAAAAACTTTATCTGAACATTTCTGTTCTTGGCATAAAATTTTAATGATGCCCGGAGGTTTCTTCTAAAGCATGTATAATTAAGTTTGAGTCGCCATAAATTTGGAAATAATAATCTTTCTTTAATCACACTCATTTCAACATATTCAAGGAGCAACAGGCCTTGCGGCAATGTCCAAACTCTGCTGCCTTGGAGTACAACTTAAAAAATGTCAAGTTAAGCACATTTGTTCATCTAGATAAATTTATAGCCACAACAAAGTAACAAGACCATAGGTCAAGTATATTTGATGATGAGATATAAATGCATTGAATGCCCTCTGCTCTTTTCTAGACTGCCCTCCTCACCCTTATTTAGCTGCTAATCATCCTGTCAGTTTATTTGAAAAGGAAATAAAATCCACTGTAGTGAGTAAACCAGTACACTCTAGTTCCAGTTGCAGTTACTTGTCGGCTGTAAGAACCATCACTGTGCATCAGCTAAGAGACCAATTGCTTGACATGAATTTCTTTTTCCTATTATCTTAACATCAACCCCAAAGAGCTCAGGGGCTACTCCTGGATCAGTGCTCAGGGCTGTTCAGGGGACCATGAATTGCTGGGGATCTAACCTGAGGCCCCAGCCTGTTGGAACTCTCTCTCCAGTGTGAGAGGTCGGAATCACCGGGCTTCTCTTCCAGAAACTGGGGTTTGGAGAGGAAAGAACTTGCCTGGGCCTCGCGAGAGAGGCTGAGAATAAACCTTAGGCCTTACTCTTGATCTGTACTTTCAGCCACTGCTCTGGAAAGTCTGAGGTGCCACTCCCAGTTGGAGACAACCCCCCCTCCCTCTGACTGGGTTACTAACCCTCCTCTCTCCTCACTGGCTCTCTGAGCTTCATCAACTAACTGCTCCATCAGAGGCATTGCAATTACTTTTTGGCTGTTAGTTCCTTGAAGATGAAAAGACCGATACCCACAGATCACAGCACAAAGCCGAACCAAGGAACTAAGGTACTAGACACTAAACTATGTCTCAAATAAAGCTCACTTACCTTAGGAGGAAGTCCAATGCGATGAAATTTCCTACCCACTTTGGGCACCTTCTGTAAAGCATACTTCTTGCCTCTTGATTTTGCACGGTCAATTGCGCTATAATTAAATGTCTCACTGACAAGCCAAACCACCTAGAAATTGAGGTAAGAAAGAGTAGTTAACTAGAAATCCCATTCTCGTATTTCTATTCTATCACGACACTTTTTCATTTGTTTCTGGGCCACAGCCAGTGGGACGTGGGCGTGACTCCTGGCTCTGCACTAAGAAATGATTCCTGAGAAGCTCTGGAGGCCAAATGGGAAGGAGGCTGCGGATCAACCTGGGTCAGCTGCTTGCAAGGCAAGCGCCCTACCCGCTGAGCTACTGCTCCAGCTCCTACTTCGAAACTGTAAAGCTGTAAATCAGAAAAGTTTATCCCTAGGCTAAATAAACACCCAAGAGAATCTAGAATCGAAAGGCTAAAGGCTTTGGTCAAGTCAGTATAAATGGCACATTACGCTTTCTGGAGAGAAGCAGTCAAAGGTTTGCCAGAGGAAGAAAGAAGTGATTGTTGTGAAATGGAGAGCTAGGATGGAATACTCGGAGCAAGTCTTCATGGCAAAACGTATCAAGGCTAAACAGAAAGCCAGTCCTCTGAGATAACATTTGCTGCCCTGCTGCCTGAGAATTATAGATCCTGACCCTTCTCTATTTTCTATTTGCTCTTTCTCCTCTCTATCCTACCGTCTCAGCTCCCAAGAGCAAGACATTCTGAGGGTCTACACAAAGTCACCTCACGAGTTCCTAATGACTCTAAAAAACTGGAAAATGAGGCTCCCCTTCAGCTCTGTCATCAGAGACATCCCGGCGCCAGAGAGCAGCTCAGCGGGAGCTGGAGCATTTGTAACATGCTGCGTGCAAGAGGCCCAGACGTGATTCCTCAGCACTGGGAGCAACCCCTGGGCAATGAGATGGGAGTAGGCCCCCTCCCCCCCGCCCCAGCACTGCTGAGTGTGGCCCAAAAGTCAACAAAAAAGAAAAAGAAACGCGATCAAGTGTTCACACACATGCCGGCTGTGAAATAGAAAGGCACAACTAAAACCTCTTTTCCTTTACCCTGGTTTTCGGCACGACGCCCAGGTGGAGCTTCTCGTCGACCAGGGAGGCGGCAACTTCGGACAGGTAGCCCTGGTTGGGGATCAGGCAGCCCCGGCCGAAGCAGCAGGGGCAGCAGACCTTGTGCACGTATTTGGTCCATTTGGGATTCAGGTTTCCATAAGGTTCCTCCGACTTGGGCTTAAACACCCCAAGAACTGCCTGTACCAAAAAAGGGAGGAGTTTCATTAGACTCTTAATGTAACAACAGCAAATAATGTTTAGAACACATTCAGAACACTCCTTTTCTATTGTTTTGGTTTAGAGGGCCCACCCAGCAGTGCTCAGGGCTGACTCCTGGCTCAGTGATTATTTCTTGAAGGGCTTAGGGGATCATACAGGGTGCTGGGGACTGAACCCGGGCCGGCCACGTGCAAGGTAAGCATCCCACCCACTGCCCTATCGCTCCAGCTCTTTTTCAACTTCTTTTCGCCACGGATTTCGATGTAACTCTTAAATAACGAGCGGTTTAATAACAATCACATCCTTCCATTCAGTATCAGTCAACAATCACAAACCTATTCTCCTCCGGACTCTGGGAGACCACAGCAAAGGTGAGACGAGAGCTGAGACCAGTCTCAGGTGCTCCAGGCTCTAGTCCAGGTCCACTACGACTGATCTGTTATTTTATCACCGGGCTCCAACTGATCTTCAAATATTTAAAAACCACCCAGCCTAGCATGGCTATTATTCAAGATCTTATACGTAAACAAATTACGTTTATCTGTTTATTCTCTACTGGAGAATAAAATCGTGTTTGGGCTGATGCCACATAATAGGAAATACTCAAGCAACCTGTTCACATGTTCCATGACAAAAGGCAGTCTTGAAATACAAAGTTAAGGACAGGCTCCTGCAAGCACCTTTGTGCTCAGATTCTCCTACCTCGCCTTCTTTCCTGCCTTTCCCGTTTTCTTTAGGGTACTGAGATTCGTAAGCGGCAGTTTCACACATACTTTGCCCCAACAGCACATGCACCACCAGAGTGTCCACTTCCCACAATTGTCCCAAGGACCCCTCCCTGGTAAACTCGTCTCTGCAGATAAACTCTCCAGTCAAGATGCCGCTGGCCATCTGTGGTTCCCTCCCTAAGTTGCTTTCTTTTTTGGGGGGGAAGAGGTTCGGTGTCGGGGGCACACTGGCTGGTGCTCTTGGCTTTCTCCTGGCTCTGCACTCAGGGTTCATTCCTGGCGATGCGGAGGATGACATACAGGGCGACAGGGATCGAACCCAGGCTGGCCGCGGGCAAGGCAAATGCCCTACCCACTGTACTCTCTCTCTGGCCCTAACACTACGCTTCTTTATATCCCACATATGAGGGAGGGATTTTTAATTGTGGAAGTGGTGACAACTACACACTGACAGATGGATAAAGCTAAATTCCCAAAATTTCATAAAATTATAGATAAGTTGATAGTTTTTGTTTTTCAAAAAGTATTTTTTTAAGAGATAAATCTGAAAACTTAACAACATGAACAATCCTGTTTGTGCTTGCTTGGAGGCCCTGCCAGCAGTGCTCAGGGTCATTCCTGTCGTATTCGGGGGACACCATGCAATGCCAAAGATCACACCATGGCTCCTGTATGTAAAGTACGTTCTCCTACCATTTTAACCTACTCCCATATTTCTGGGTTTTTTTGTTTTTATTTTATTTTTTGTTTTTTTGGGTCACACCCAGTGATGCACAGGGGCTACTCCTGGCTCTGCACTCAGGAATTACCCCTGATGGTGCTCAGGGGACCGTATGGGATGCTGGGAATCATGCAAGGCAAACACTCTACCCACAGTGCTATTGCTCCAGCCCGGTTTTTGTTTTTAAAGAAGAGAACGGCTGCCTGGCCTCCCAGGTCCACTTACCTTGACCCTTGCCTGTCTTTTTAAATCAACCAATTTTATTTTTAAATTCTTTGGTTTTGTTTTGGGCCACACCCCGTGGTGCTGAGGGCTCACTCCTGGCTCGGCATTCTGGGATCACTCCTGGCCAGTGCTTGGGACAACAGATGTAGTGCCTGGGATCAAACCTGGGTCAGATGCATGCAAGGCAAGCACCTTAGCTGCTGTAATAGCTCTTCAGCCCAATTAACTGATTCTAAACAAACCCTCTCCCCTTAAAAATATAGTTGGTTCTTGGAGGTCTAAAAGTGTATAACCTTTATTATTAGGCTCTTAAGATATATTGTATTATTATTATATATATATAATATATGTTAAACTAGTAACTGAACTATCTTTTGATAACAAAATCTTATAATTTTAAGTATATACTTTATAATGCAGGCTGGAGCGATAGCATAGCGGGTAGGGCATTTTCCTTGCATGCAACCAACATGGCCGACCCGAGTTCGATTCCTCCGCCCCTCTCGGAGAGCCCAGCAAGCTACCGAGAGTATCTCGCCCGCACGGCAGAGCCTGGCAAGCTACCCGTGACGCATTCGATATGCCAAACTCAGTAACAAGTCTCATAATGTTACTGGGCCCGCTCGAGCATATCAATGAACAACAGGAGGACAGTGACAATGACTCTATAATGCAACAAAGCCTAAATTAGTAATGAAAAAAGTTATCAAAAATTTTAATAAGAAATCAAGCTGACTGAAGAGTGAGACTGATGTTATCTACCTATAAATCTCAAACACTTAAAATACAGTTTCAATCCTTGCAAAGTAAGTACCCATTAAGTTGTAATCTTAAAAAAAAATAAAACTATTGGTTTTACAACAGTCACAGGGCTTTAAAAATAATACTGATTTTCTCTTTTCTGCTCCCGAATTATGCTTTATTTCATATTGTCACATTATAATCCTTCAAACTTGAATTTCTAGGCCTCTTCTTCGGTAATGCTAGAAAACACAAAAATATTATCCCAAGGGCAAACAAACCTTTGGAATAACATTAAACAATTTTCAGAACTTCAAATATTCGCTCATCTTGGTTGATACTGTTAAAGATTTACTGAAAGGTAAGGACTTTTGAATATGAATTCAACAAATCTAGTATGTCATGCTGAGTGTCCAAAAAAATGCCTGAAACCAAATAAAACAATAGAGCACGGAACTGGCTTAAAGTGAATATACCTCTATTTCTAGGTAGTAGAGTGCTAAGTAAAAAACAAACTGACCTTTATTTTTGAAAAGAGGGTGCAATCAGATTTATTAGGAAAATATCTTCAGAAACTCATAATGACTCCACATTTAAAATAGTTTTCCAAACTTTCTGTTTATATATAGTAGGTCTGTGAAAATCTCACCCTCTTAGGATCCTTCACAAAGTAACTTCCACTTGAACCTTGAGAGATTCTTTCTGGAAAAACTCCAAATTCTATTGCTTGCTCTGCTTTCAATACAATAGCAGCAAATTCTGCATCATCCGAAAACGTATTCAACTCTGCATTAAGAAAGTGAATGTTAATGTAGAACAGGAAGAAGGAAAGCCAGCTGTGTGGCAGGGGCATTTTCACTCAGATGCATTCGGGCATTAGGATGGAGGAAACCGTCAGCCCTGGGATTCCAGCCGCTCTGATCCCCCACCCAGGCTCACTTCTGTTTAGCTCCAAGAAGGAATAACATACAAAAGGCAACATTCCTGTTTGTTGAAATAATTGCTCTAACACCTCAAATAACTCGAAAGTCTCTTCCCATAATTTGGCCCTCCACCCCAATTTCAAAGCATCGTCGCATGTCAGATCTGTCATTATTAAGACACCTCTCCAAACACCAGACATTCCACTTATAGCAACTCCAACCTTCCTAATTAATACCCTGAGCCACCCCAATTCCCCCACCACGAGGGCCTACAGACCTACTAATCGACCAAGTCGTTGCTGGCTTTTTACATGTACCCTCTTCAGTTCTCGCCTCTCCCCCTGACCAGCCTCATCTATGGTCAGTCATCACAGAATCACTCTTCCTCTCTCTCCTGTGCCCTGGCACCTGAAGACTTGCCCAGCTCTTGGCTACCCTGGATCCATCTAGCCGAATGAGATTAGACGATCCTAGACCAGTCTGATCTCACTTATAATCTAGGGCCGTCTGTAAGATGCTTGCCTTGCAAGCAGCCGACCCACGGTTCGACCCCCAGCACCCTGTATAGTCCCCCAAGCACCTCTAGAAGTGACCCCTGAGAACGGAGCCCAGAGTAAACCCTGAGTACTGTTGGTGAGGCCTTAAGACAGAAGGAAATAAAATCCATCTCACTCCTGGGTCAGGGTGCTGGCTGAGTGGGAGGAGAGAGACCCATGTCTCTCCTGTGTGAGACCTCAGGCTTGGCCCCCAGCACAACTTCCAACAATGAAATATAACCCATGAGTCAACTTTATGAACATATGCCCTTCAGTTGCTCAGAAAGCATTATGTCCTGTTATGGATTACATATATGCCCCTGCCACCAATTTTTTTTTTTTTTTTTTTGGTTACAACCAGCAGCAGCACTCAGGGTTTACTCCTGGCTCTGCTCTTTGGGATCACTACTATCAGGCTCGAGGAACCACATGGGCGTGCTGGGGATCGAACCTGGGTCAGCTGCATGCAAGGCAAGCGCCTTACCTGCCATACTATTGCTCCAGTTCTGCACCAACTCTCCTGAGCCCCTACACCCCAGAGTGACTACTAAGAGATGGGGTCTTTGGGAGACACTTAGCTTCAGAGGACATAAGGGTGGGGGACCCAAGGTGAGATTAGTGCTCAGCACCCACTTCCCCATCCTCTGAGGACACAGTGATCAGGTGACTGCGAGATGCCCCAAGAGTCTGGCCACGCTGGCACTTGGCCCTTGGATGTCCCACCTCCAGGACTGTAAAATAATAAATGATGCAGACCAAGACAATGCCCCTGGTCCATACTCTCTTCTGGAAAGCAATCTCATACCCCGCCCCCTTCCTCAAATCCCCAACACCATCCTCCTAACCTCATTTCCTTTTCACTCCTAAGAGGGGCAGAGCAAACGCTTACCGGCGCTCACACCACACTGACCTCCAGGTACACTGCAAGCACCAGCCAGAAGCACCCTGTCTTGTGTGCCTCATCTCATCCTAACTGCTTCAGGTCATGCACTCTCAGCAGTTGCTCCTGTGCCACTATTTCACTATTTCCTTCCCCTCCCGAATGGATTATTTCTATCACCATACACAGCATGCTGTGATTTTTTTCTTTTTCATCTTAAACTTCTTAGGACTCCCTTCAATCCCTTGTATATTCTCCTCATTCCTTTTTCTCCACTTTCTAGCAAAAAGCCTCTCTGGTGCATTCTATTTACCCACTCGAATCTCATTCTCTCTGGAACACATTTCCGCCAGGGCTGCTGTTCCAATCACACACTGAAATCTCACCAATGGAATGTTTTTTTTTTCTTTTGTTAGCGTACATAGTGGCCTCCACAGTATTTGGCCTCTGAACATATATGTCCTTGGACCAACACCACCTGACCCTGCCAATCACTGCTCTCTGCCAGAGCCTCTCCGGACTCAACTTTCTGGATGGGCACATCTGCTGGTTCCCGGGTCTCACCGGGCGCCTCTTCAGTTTCCTTGCTGGCTCCCCCTCATTCTTCAGACTACTGACCCGACAGTGCTCCCTGCTCTGTTCACAATCTCTTCCCTTGATCAGGACTGATGACTCCCACCTCTCTATCTCAAGCCTGGACTTCCGGCTGAAGCCTGGACTCCAAAAGTCACCATCCCCACTTGGATCATTAGTGACAGCTCAGACTACCCAAAAGCCCATTTCTCACCTTATGTGCTACTTTTCTGAGCACCCCTTAATTCCCGCATTCACTATTTCAGTGGCTGGCAATTCCCGAGCTTCTGGCTGCTTGGGTCCAAATCCTTGGACTCATCCATGACTCCCTAACTCTCAGGCCCCGCACACCACCCATGGGCAGTTCTACCACCCACCTCACCACTCCATTCTTTCCACTGGTCCAGGGCACATCAACTCTTGCCTAGATTGCTGTAAGCGTCTCCTGACCACTCTCCCTTTCTTCTCAACAGTATACTGCCTTCTCTGAACTCGACAGAGACGCAACAGCAATGCTCTTAAAACGCAAGTCAGACCCTTTGTACAGACAAGCCACTGGTTTCCATCTCACTCAGAGAAAAAGCCCAAGGTCTAGGGTGGCTGCCAAGATCCCATCCAATCTCACTTGTCTCCACTTATTTTTCTGGCAAGCACTTATCACCTTACATATTGCATCAGTTATTTATTTTGTGAGCTTCAAGAAGACAAGGATTTCTTTCACCACCACATGCCCAGAAGTTTTTCACTTTCTAGAACATAATAAGCACTCAATAAACACTTGTCAGAAAAATTAGTAAGTCATCGTTCAAAGCACTAGACCAAAGATTATTCACATTTTGGAAAGCATCTAAATGCTACCATAATACATTCATTATTATGAAAATTCAAAATGTAATCTTCCCTTAATTAAAATTCTGCCTTAATCTTGGCAGAAATAAAACTGTTACTACTATTCTGAAATTTGTGCTGAGAAAAAAACACTATACAAAGAGCCACTGGGCATACATAACAGACTTATTAAAAGAAGAAATAATCCCAGGTTTTAGTCATGTCTATAACATGCTAATTCCAAATCAGCTTTGTTGATCCTTGGAAATCTTTGAAAGTGAAGATTTTTGTCTTTTTTGTTCATTGTGTATCTCTAGCACCTGGAAATGTGCTTTGTATTTATAGAGTTACTCAGTCTTTCACTAAATAAATGAAGTCTATTGCTCCCCTCTCTGAAGCAAGACTGCTAAATGAGCTTGTATAGCTGAACTGGAGGTTTGTTGGGGTGGCTCTCACATACATAACTTGGACATTTAATTTCTCAGGAAACTTGGTCCTGAGTTGATGGGGCGCAACAGCAATTTGGGGGTATCAGGAAGCCTGAAGGCACTATCAAGCTGCTGATGCACTTGCCCCATAGCTACAGGTTGCTGGAGGCACCATATCCCGTCCCCCCACCTATAGGTTGTGTATTTTTTTTTTTAAGTTTTAAATCAAAAACTTGGTTAAATGATCTGTTGGATCAATGAGTCTGATATAGCTAAGGTAACAGTGTTTTTCTTTCAGTTTTTTACCATCTCAGAGTTATTTGAGTACCTTTTAAGCTAGATGCCCTCCCTTGTTGTTTTCCCTTGTTATGAAATAGATGTCTTTGGAGTGCTTTAATAAAAATATCATAAAAGGGGTAGCTTATAAACAATAGAAATTTCATGCAGTTCTGTAGACTCCGCTGAGGTCTCACTTTCTGGATCCAAGGTGGTGTCATCTTACAGTGCCTTACATGGTGGAAGAGACAAGGAAGGTCTCTTGGGTGCCTTTTATGGTCCCATTCATGAGGGCTCTAGCCTCATGATATATCCACCTCTGAAAGACTATCTCCCAAGACCATCATCTAGGGGTTAGTATTTCAACAGAATGAATTTTGATCCAAAAAGTGTGAGCAATCATGGTCATTCGTCAAATGGCTTTCCCCCCACCCCCGGTCAGGGCTTTGAATTCAAGTTATTTATCTCACCTGACCCTCCCTCCCCCAATAATGTTGTGCTTTCCATAAAGTGGGTATATTTGGGTCAGGGAGTTAAACAGTTTCAATGGCACATCACTCCCTTATGCTCCTCCCTTGGTTTGTTTGAAAACAAATACAGAAACCTCTTTCTCTAGAAACAAACCTGTGGTTTTGTTCACTGTCCTGGGCTGCCAGCTGGAGCAAAACAAGTCTACTTCTCGCGGAGAAGCCCCTTCAGATGGGTGGAGATCACTGCATGTCCCCCTGTCTCCTCTCTTCTCTGCCTCCTTCCCTACTGCCAGGTTTAGGGGCTTGTCAGCCACCGACATGCCCTCCTGTGTCATACCTCAGTCTGTCAGTATCTCCCGAAAGGCTGGTCTCTGATCCTAAGCCAACCCTGCGTCAAACAGGCATCTCTCAGTCTTAACTCTAGACCAAAAGAAGCAGCACTCTTCTGTCTGAGCCCACGGTGGGCTGGTTGGAAGTCCCGCCAAACTGCTCAGAGTGAACCAGCTACACATTAGGCTGCTCTGGTTCTTTCCCCTGCTGCCCTTGAGGAAACTATGGACAGGCACGACTACTAGATGTCAGCAAACTATTCTTGTGGGCTAGGCTTTATGAGCTCATCACAGAGCCTGCCACTGTTCCTCTCATGGAGCCCATGACCACACTCTGAATACTTAATTCAGTTTCAACCAAAATCGGATCAGAAATGTCACTATAAAAATCAACCAGGATGTCCTCGATCTCCTTTTTAACTCATCACTTACTGAGCAATCCCTTTGAGTGAATTAGAAAAATCTCCCACATAAAATGAGGCATACTTAGTGGCCAGTTGGGCATTCCAGAGGAAAGGGCAGCTCAGATAGAGAAGGGAACAC